TCTCCATAGATATTTATACTCAAAATTTATTCTGCTGCCGCTATTTACCTCCCAGATGTTAAGATCTAAATTCAGAATTATTATAAAACTGCTTCCACGAATAAAAAAATGTAAAGCTACAAAGTTGGGAGAGAAGGAGCAAAGTTTGCAGTGATTAAAGAAAGAGGGAGGTCTAACACAGTCCGTGAAGCTGATACCTTTAATATCCACCATTTTTAGGTTAATTATCTCCTGCTTCTAAAAGAATCAGTGAAAATAAAAATGGAGCTCTGGAGTGGGAATAACTTTACAATCCTCTTCAATAACTCAGATGCCAGTAATAAAACTCATTTTTAAAGACATTGGCTGGTTTCCTTTCTCTTACATCCTTCTTAAATTACACTTTACAACTCAAGCAATTAGTGCAGAAGGGTGACGCATACTATATGTGGTCCTATAGATGTTGGGCAATAATTCTCATTAATCCTAGCCAGACATATTGGTCTTGTGTTCACTCCCACATCCCAAAGTTAATGGATGCTGCATCATCATTGCCTATATTCTGACACTTAAATTGTTGAATTACCAGCAAGCTTTGTCCTGGTTCAAGATCCAGATGGATCTCAACAGACTTGAACACTGGACCCTGTCTAACAGAATGAAAGTCAATGTAGAGAAAAGTAAGATTTTACTCTTAGGCAAGAAAAACAAAATATACAGGTGCAAATTAGGTGAAACCTGGCTCAACAGCAGTAACTATGAGAGGGAGTTACTGGTGGACAATCACTTAAATGTGAGCCAGCAGTATGCAGCCACCGCCAAAAAAGCCAACATAATCCAAGGTTGCATTAACAGAGGGATAGAATCAAGATCATATGAAGTAGTACAGTTTTATAAAGCCTTGGTAAGACGACACTTAGAATACTCCATCCAGTTTTGGTCACCATGTTATAAAAAACATATGGAGACTCTGGAAAGAGTGCAGAAAAGAGCAACAAAGATGATTAGGGGGCTGGAGGCTAAAACATAACAAAGAATGTTTGCAGGAATTGGATTTGTCCAGTGAAAAGAAGGATTGGGGTGATGTGATAGCAGTATTCCAATATTTGAGGGGCTGCCACAAAGAAGATGGGGGAGAGGGGAGTCGACCAATTTTCCAAAGCACCTGAAGGCAGGACAAGAAACAATGGATGGAAACTAATCAAAGAGAGAAGCAACCTAGAACTAATGAGAAATTTCCTAACAGTGAGAACAATTAACCAGTGGATTTAATGGCTTGTCTTCAGAAATTGTGGGTGCTCCATCAGAGGAGGATTTTAAGAAGAAACTGGACAGCCATTTGTCTGGAACAGTGTTTCTCAACCTTGACAATTTTAAGGCATGTGGACTTCAACTCCCAGAATTCCACAGCCAGCATTGCTGGCTGTGGAATTCTGGGAGTTGAAGTCCACATGCCTTAAAATTGTCAAGGTTGAGAAACACTGGTCTGGAATGATCTCTTGGTTGAGCAGGGTGTTGGACTAGAAGACACCGGAGATCCCTTATTCTGGCTATGCTGAATGTAGCATAGCCAGAATAAGGGACCTAGCTCAAGGGTAGGCAACCTTGGCTCTTTTATGACTTATGGATTTCAACTCCCAGCATTCCTGAGTCAGCATGGCTGATTCAGGAATTCTGGGAGTTGAGGTCCATGAATCCCATCCCTGAGCTAGGTCCCCAATGCATAATACTGTTGTCTTAAAATGTCTGAGCTGATCAGCTTACCCCCTCTGCCGGATAAAGCTGATAGTGCAGCAGCCAGGATGCTTGCCCTTAGACATCAGATCCACCCAACTGGAAACCTTCCTGCTAACAGAAGTTTGTGCTGGCTGAAATGAACTGTTAGCTCTAAGCCTGCAGAGATTGATGCACCTGGGCTCTCTGCTTACTGTACTCATTTGAAATAATTGAGTAATAAATTTTAGTGACTCACAGCCTTACCCCCTCTTGATTTATTGATTTGTGACTGATTCTTGAATTATCACTTAAGCATCTGCACTGGCAGAGCAAGGCCTCTCCTCCTTTTTACTGAGGCCTGCAGTTGTTTACAGCAAATTTCCTGCTGCTTCTATTCAGGGAGCACATCTGGATTTGCTTAGTCAAGCAAAGCAGGAAGTGGCTCCATTATTGTCTTCAGATGGTGGCAACAGGAAATCTTCTTTCCATCCACTCCATGCATTTGCTGCAGCCCGTAAACTGAGTTCCTGAAAAAAAGAACCCCTCTCATTTTTCTACACAGACTGATGGCCTCTATTTTAAGACTGGTCTGTGTTTCAAAGTACTATAGCTCTAAAGCTTTGAAACAATCCAAAACAAATCCTAGTATACTGTACTGTAATATTTGTTTGTGTATACAGGTGTACACATATACATACATATCCATTTATTTGTGTGTGTATATATGTGGGCTATGCATAAAAAATGTGATAGATTCTGCCGTTCTGTGGATTTTGTGGCTTTGACCCACTGTAGCAACACTTATTCTATATTTTTGTAGTTCACCAACTTCGTATGGTTTGCATATCAAAGTGCACTCTAGCCCATGAAGTTTATACTGCAATAAACCCTGTATGGTTTGTTAATTAAACTACAGTTTCAGTTGGTTTTGATGCTCTAATTTGGGGGCCTTCAAACTTGGCCCTTTTATGACTTGTGGACTAACTCCCAGAATTCCTCAGCCAGGCACGCTGGCTGAGGAATTCTGGGAGTTAAAGTCCACAAATCATAAAAGGGCCAAGTTTGAAGACCCCTGCTCTAATTCATAGGTTCAAATCTTTTCTTCTGAAGGTATGTCCTATTTATTAGGCTCAGGTTGATGGCTATTTATTTATTTATTTGTATTCTGCCTTTATTATCCTTACAAATAATTCAAGGCAGCAAACATATTCAACACACCTTCCTCCTCCTATTTTCCCCACCACAACTCTTTGAAGTAAGTTGGATTAATAGTGACTGGCCCAAAATCACCCAAAGACATGGCCAAAGCGAGACTAGAACTTACGGTCTCCAGCTTTCTAACTTGGTGCCTTAATCACTAGACTAACCTGGCTCTCTATTAGAGTTCCATTAAGAAAAAAGGTGAATTCATAAACCTAAAAACCAAGATTCCTTTTTTTTTTTGTATAAGAGTGATGATCTTAAGAGCTTTTCACATAACCAAACATCTACATGACAACTCTTTCTCACAGTGCTTCACAATACTTGCCTTTTTCTCTTTCTGATCTTTTGCACTGTCGAAGTGAAGTGCTGTGTTCCAACTTATTAATCAAAAGACACTGTAAAACTATTATTTTTCTAAAGAGAAAGATAATGGGATGTTCTCATCCAAATGCATACCAAGAAGTATAAGAGGTCAGGCAATTATAAAATCAAATTCATAAAAATCATTTCTCTTAGAATTCCCAGTTCTTAGATGTTTTCTTCCTCTAGGCATGTGGAGAAAATCGGTTTAGATGGAAGATTATTTCAATATATGATTAATATGCACCAAGATGGAAAGATTTGGCCTTACCCACCATGGAGGAATGGTTGGTGAAACCGACAAAATTTCCTGAGAGGGATAAACTGATTTCTTTGATTACAGAAAAGACAATATTTATGTTTATTGATGACTGGAAAACTCTTATAGACTTTTTGAGTAAAAATGAAAGTGATTTATGGTTTTGATGATTAGACAGGATAGATTATAGAAAGAAGAAAATCATGATGTAACTATAGTGAGGGGTTAAAGTATAATTGTACTTATAACTTCTATGAAGAATTTTGGAAGATGCTTCCTTATATCTTTTCTTTTTTTCCCACTTTTTGCTTTTTTCTTGTACTTTTAGCTTTTTCTTTTATTTCTCTTTCCTTTTCACGTTCTCTGTTATATTTTAGATTGCATTAGATTTTATTATTAAAACTTTCAATAAAAAGTATATATATAAAAAAGAGAAAGTTGACTTAGTGACCTGTTATTAATTACTGTTGCCAGGAGGGCAAGCTTTCTGGATGCAATTGTTAATCTTGATAATAGCTGTTTGGATTGTTTAGCAATTTTGCCGTGCTTTTGTTTATTATGGATAATTAGTTGCAGTAGTTATATTAAGAACTTAATACACTAACCAATTAAATTGCAATTATTTATGAGCAGACCAAGGGCATCTATGCAATTTCCATGTATCACGTTATCTCAGAAATAAGCAAATCGCACAGTGGCTTCAAGTTACATATGAAGTTAAATTGCACAACTGAATGATCTATCTTGGCATATTGTAGCTGTAACTATTGCTTTGGTTTCCCCCAATGCATAATACTGTTGTCTTAAAATGTCTGAGGCTCAATTTTCAGAGTAAATGCCATTCCATTAACTGAGGAACTACAGAAGGGAAACAGAGCTTCTAAATCCAGATCTCTGTTGTCTGCATTCTAACACTCTATAGGGTTTAAGAAAATGGGCATCCTATCAGATCCACATACATTAAGCCACCTAGCATCTTATGGAGCAAAGATCTCTTCTCAAGCTGAGCTCTTAAATGCAAGCAAGATACTGCACTCTAGTGGAAATAAAAGAGCAGGACCAAGCAATTATGAGAAATGTACATACTTGGAGTAGCTATGTATTTAGTAGCTATATATAATAAAGCTATATATTTACAGTAAAAGTTTGAATATTAAGCTGTTAGTATATTACATTATAGGTTAAATGTTAAGCTATATTAAAGTTATATATTAAATAGTGTAAATATTTATATCTAAAGCACTGTCTCTATCCCTGTATGAATTAGCAATAATTTCCCAAAGTCTTATTTTTTCCCCCATTTGTACAATCTTGGATCATTAAAGCAGGAATGGAAGAAACCCAAGGCTTTCATCACTGAGTTATCATCTTCAGTACATGTGGAAATATTACAACCAATAGTTCTAGTACCAGCAATATAGGGAAATGATTTGTAATAGTTGGAAAGGAGTGAAGAGAATCAAGATTCTACAGCAACACACAATTAAGATGACAAATATTATTATTGATTGCCTGAGATCATGGTATTGCAAAACAAAAATAATCAGATATCCTCTTAGCCTTCAAAGAATGGAACAGGCCTGGAGGACTTTATCTCCATTCAAACCATCACCGTGCATTATCCCTACTTGGATGTTGTAGCTATTGAGGCAAGACAAACACAAGATATACAGATCAGAAGAAAGTCAGGCCTTGGGACTTGGCCTCTCAGCTGGAGGAGTTTATTAAGGCTTGTCCACATGATTAGAGTTTTTGTTTTTACCACCACCTCCTTCTCTACTAAGCATGGTAACCAACTTGTGTCTGAACGCACCAGTTCCTCTTGCTTTGGGCCTACCACTCCTTTCACCTCTACTTGAAGTCTCCTGACCATCTAGCAGATGAGATGGACACTGTCTGTCCGGAGAGGAGTCCGCCCTTGGACTTGAGCTAAGATGGCCGCTCAAGCGCTTGAGTGTTTTAGGACTATCGTAAATGGGTAATTGGTCATGGTTGTTGCTGCCCTCAAGGGAGTCTCTGTAGCTGAAGCCAAGACATTCTGAGCCGGAGGGACGCTGTTCCAGATCCTGCAGGTTCTCGTAGAGATGGTCTGAGAGCTGTGCTCCTTGCTCTTGGGATTCCACCTCTGTCTTGCCCCAAGGCTGAAACATGAGAGGAAAGCTCTTGCCAATGGAAGCATAGATGATGGGTGTTTCAGGAGACTCAAGCTCTGGGGAAAGAGAGTGGTTTTCGCTAGAGAGGCTAATTTCCATGCTCCCCTTTGGAAGTGGTTGCATTTCCTCCAAATTCTCTGTGCCAGTGGGCCAGGACCACACCCCGGCTTTCTGCATAGAGTCTTGAGCTTGAGAAATCCCAGCTTTCTTGTTGTTCTCCATAAGGATGGCCTTCTGATGTCCTATTGCAGCCGAGACAGCCTTGCATATTTCTACAGCCTGTGAAGTATTAAAAGTGAAGAGGCCCTCTCCTGAATCACAGCGGCGACCTGCCTCAAAAGAGAAGACAGTCTGGGGAGAGAGAAGAAAAAAGAAAACTTCAACAGTTATTCTAGAGCAGTGGTTCTCAACCTTTCTAATGCCGCGACCCCATAATACAGTTCCCCATGTTGTGATGACCCCCAACCACTTATACATCACTGGGTGCCAGGGGCGTGGCCAAAGAAAAGGGGAAAAAAAATGGCGGACAGCTTTGTTTGGCGACCCCCGTGAAATGGTCGTTCGACCCCAAATGGGGTCCCGACCCACAGGCTGAGAACCACTGTTCTAAAGTAATTGCTAGCAATCAATCTATCAATTATTTATTTGACTTAAGTGCCGCTTGACTCCCATCAACTCAGGGCACATTATGAAACCATAAAAACAAATAGCAAATATACAAGAAAAACAGAAAACTAAGTAAGAGGGCAAATCTGGTCTGCAAAGCAAAACAAAAAAATAAAAATAAAAATCATACACCAAGTAAGTCACCCAGCCCAGAACCTAGAGAAAAGCCAGGCCTTTAAAAACCCTCTGGAACACTATCAGAGTAGGAGCTATCTAGATCTCATGAGGAATCTCATTCCAGAAGGAAGGCAGGGCTGGGTCTTGCCTTGCTATGGCACTTCCTGTTTGACCTTCTTCTCATTTCTGTTGTTAATTTCCATATTTCAGTGCTTAGGGAAAAAAAAGTTCTGGTGTTCTGCATGTGAGAAACATCTTTTGACGAGTACAGTTAGTTCTCGACTTATGACCACAACTGAGCCCAGAATTTATGTTGCTAAGTGACAACTTAGTTAAGTGAGTTCTGCCCCATTTGATGATTTTTCTTGTCACATTTGTTAAGTGAATCACTGTAGTTGTTAAATTAGGAACCTGGTTGTTAAGGGAATCTGGCTTCCCCATTGACTTTGACGGTCAGGTCGCAAAAGGGGATCACATGACCCTGGGACACTGCAACCGTCATAAATATGAACCAGTTGTCAAGCATCCAAATGCAAATCGTGTGACCGTGCAATGATGCTGCAATGGTCATAAGTGTGAAAAATGGTCACAAGTCACTTTTTTCAGTGCCGCTGTAGCTTCAGTCACTAAATGAACTGTTGTAAGTCGAAGACTACCTGTATAGCTGTATAGGTGTGCAGCTTTGGTTATTTTGAAACATGCTGATGGCCTCATGACCTGATTAGGGCCTGTCAGTAACCTTCACAGAAACCGATGTCCCTCTTATAATGGGCAGTATGAATAGACTGGAGGAACTGGAGGAAGAGCCGCAACCAACGCAATGGTGAGATTTAAAAAAAAACTGAGTCTGAAATAGAAATGTGAATTGAGAAAGCATCTCGGAGTTGACCATTTCCAGTTCTCTTGAAGATAGAGGAAGAGGGAGGCACATTCAGACTTGTAAGATTCTGTTAATGCAACCCTACAATAAAAGTCGCATTAGCATGATAACTTTGATTTCCTAGTCTGGTCTACTTGGGGGACTGACAACTGTCTCATGTGCTACAAGTGAGGAAATCCTCCATGTGTGATGCTCTACAGTCTTTTCTGCCGTAAACAAAGAGAAAGAGAAGAAAGAAGCAGCTACTTACCTTTTCCTGGCCAAATCTTCGGAGGAAGGTATAAGGCCAGCTATAGTGAATTTGTCCAGACTGCACATCCTTCAGGACCAGTTGCTCAGGAAAAAGGACCATCAGGTAGTTCCCTTTCAACAGACATCTTGCAGAAGCCTCTGTTGGGAATACGCTCACTGGGAACTCACACACTGTTGGAAAAAATATTAGACTTATTATTTATTTATCTAAGAATCTTTCTTAATCCTTTACATAATCCTTCAGTGGTGATTGTCGTACCATTTTTTTTTTTAGGAACCATGGATGTCTCAGTTTTAAGTTTTCTCATTCTGTTGTGACTATTTGGGTTTGAAAACATGAACCCAATTTATTTATTGATTTAAAAAGACTTACTAGCCACCCGGTTTATGTACTGTAACATTAGGCAGCTACAGAAAAAAATTAAAAGCTGTTGGAAAATAAACAGAACATCCTTGAAGAACAAAATAAAGCAATCAGCTCCGGAGAGCAGGAAAAGTCTAATTGATAAAAATACTGAACTTGAAGACTTAGTTTTAAACCCTGAGTACAACTATGGATTCACTTTTAAAAGTAGAATTTGCGACACTATCTCCTGATATTGTGGATGCTTACATTATTACTTTATTCCATAATGATGGTTGCCGTTCGATAATCTTTGTCAGCACTGACACAATGGAGGATCAGATATGGACTAACAAAGCCGAGTACTGGAATGTGTATCACAATGGTGAACAGCCTTTGTGTGGAGGTGGGACTGCACTTAGCATGGGGAGATTGCACTCCTGTTAACTTGGATGGAACCAGGACAAAAACAATTTAGTTTAACTTAAGTAAAATTAAAGGTATGTTAAATTAAATTAAACCTATAATCTGATGATAGCTTTGGATGAAAAACTGGGATCTCTAACCACAGCTTTGGGGCCACAGACTGAGCTTCCACTGCTCTAGTGCAATCTCAGCTAAAAGAAGTTGTTAAGCTTGGATTTCTTTAGAGGGTTTTTTTTTTGTCAGCACAAATGAGTGTTAACCCCTTTAATGCCCTGGCTGGCTATCGGTTTTTCATCCCGACCTTGGGCATACGTACTTTCCTTCCAGGATGAGTAGATGGAATTCTCCTCCATTAGGGGTTGAGAGCTTTGGGTGTTTCCAACTGTACTGGACTGGGACTGTCTCCTCTGCATCACCAGAGCAAAAGTGAAAGAAATAAGAGGGATTCTCAGTTAATTACCTTATAAAAGCAAAGTTGCAACATTTGAATGGCCCCTTTATCACAACATAACCACCACCTTGTATCACCATATCCAGAAACCCTTGCTGCAACTTATAATTTGAAATGTTTACATCCCACCCTCCAAAATTTCAAGGTCCTCTATGTATTATTATTTCCACCCACCAGTAAAATAGGTTGACTGAGTGCACTTTGAACTTGGTCTCCACAGTCCTACTGCAACACCCTGACCACATTACTACACCGAATCTCAAACCTTATCAATCTGATATGCAATTAAAGCTACTGATCTACCTATTTAATTCCAATACTTTTACCTGTTATTCATCTTTGTATCTGGAAGCTGCAAGCTACCCTCTATAATTACACCAATTACAGTATTTGCATAGAAAAACCCTACTCAAACCAAATTCATGATTTTGTTTGTAACATAATAATCATGGAAAACATTCCTCTCTGTTATTTGTTACTTTAGGGATAAACCCTACTAGGCAAGAGCCCAAATGAATAGAGTTGAGAAAGGGGAAAACGATGATGAAACTATGTAAACATTACACCTGACTTCCTATAAATTCTTGCTGGAAGAAAGATCTCTGAAAGATCTTTTTCTGAATAAGAAACCATAATTTTGTTACGTTAGCAATTCCAGAATTTCCAGTACTATGCTGCTATGTGGTTCACTCAATTAATCTCTAAGAGTTTTGGAAGCAGAACTGCATTTTTAAAATTGAGAAATAAAATAAAATAAGTAAACGAAGAGCGTCCATTATTATAGCAGTCTCCTCCAGAAATTCTTCATGCAGTGTTTCAAGAAGCTACTGAAATGAGAATGGAATCCTGAAATTTTAGGGTTGGAAAGTCAGTCACCCAACCTTCCATGAATAATATTAACAGCAACCTGGGGGGGAACAACTCCATTAAGCTTTGGATTGGACAACAAAACTTTTGGGCCTGAGAAATCATCCTATAGTTCAGTTCAAGTCGATGCAAGTGGATGCCATTCAATTAAGTACTGTAATGTACTGTATTGATCAATACCTGAAAAGCTAGTTGGCAGATGCATTCAATCCATTCACTTGGTTGATCTGCTGCGAACAACCAACTGCGTTCCAGCATGCACAAGTAGAAAGGTGCCGTGTCCCTGGGAGAGCTCCGGTCTTCAGCTCTTTCCACAGAGACACAGTCCGAGAGGCGAATCACTTTACGTTCCCCTTTCCTCAGGGTTGTTTTTCCCGCTGCAACACCGTCACGTGCTTCAAAATACTCAAGACGGGCAACACCAAAAGGACTGTCAGCAAAAAGCTGGACCCATACTTTCCGCCAAGACTTCTGTGAACGGAGGCAAAGGGATGGGCGATGAAACAATCCAGGAAACAAATCCAATTGCAGTCAAATATTTGCACCCAGGAGGAAGAAATAAGAAAGTAAGTCTTTAAGTAGCCGTGCAGAAAGAGAAACAAAACATGATTCTCCTGCTACTGAGCTACTCACAGAAGTAGGAGCCAATGTATAGGATCACAAAAAGGCAAACCTTTCCCCCCCCCATTATTCCATAATCCCTCTGCGGCATTTAATAATCATAGAATGTATTTGTACAATTGCCTCATCTAGTATCGGGCCCAGGATATAATGTCTTTGCTCCTTGAAATCATATAAAAATGTAAATTTCTAATCCTCGTGGAATTCAAAGCTGCAGACTTGAGAGTGAGTAATGGCTTCAGGGCCCTCAGCTATTATTTATTGGATCAGCTCATCTTCAGACAGTGCCTGTCCCTTCCCTTTTGGCACTGCATTTCATAGTCTGAAGTCAGCGATTGAGCAAGTAAAATATAGTAATTTCCATTGCACAAGTCAAATATGTAATTTGTTCAAAAAAGGCCGAAGGAAAGTGCACTATTTTTCCTAAGCAGGTTTGTCTCTAAAACAGAACATACCCCAGATTCAATACTCTATCTTTCCAGACAGAATTAAAATCTGTCTAAATCTTATAAAATTGCTGCCGATCAGTATCCATAATTCTCGCCAATGTAACTGTTCTGAGCTATTTTCAACACCCACCCACCCAATTTCTAATGCAGCAGCTTAGAATCAGAAGATCAGAGGCTGGAGAGGACTTCCAGAGAAGTATAGGCAAAATGTCTGAAAATGATGGAAATACTGTTGAGAAGATGGGAAGCACCAGATTTAGGAAGACTAGTATACATGTTTGGAAGATGAGGATTATCGTGGTACTCACCTACACCGTGGTGCTCCTCCTGTAAAATTCCTCAATGAGTAGCAGTTATCAAAGGGATACACTCAATCATTGTTAAGTTGTGAGTTGTTTAACATGGCTTAATGATTTAACATGTTTAATATGGTTTATTCCGGAAAGAATATCAAACCAAAGCATAATTAGTAAGAGCTACTTACTTCTGCAGAGTATGAAATGAGAAAGCTGTTAGAAACAGCATCTCAGTTGGCTATGAAATTTAGCCAATTTTGGGTTAAGGCAGCAGGCTAAAAACCAGGAGGTTGTGAGTTCTAGTTCCGCCTTAGGCGTGAAAACCGGCTGGGTGACTTTGGGCCACTCTTTGTCAGCCACAACTCACCTCACAGGACTGGTATGGGAAAAAATTCGAGGAGGGAGGAGTATTAGATATGTATTATCTAATGGGATAAAAAAAATTAAAAACAAAAACAAAAACAGAATTCCAGGTAACTGAATATAGAATTTCTGTGTTTTTAAAAGCAAGTTAAGAATTTGGTATGAAACATATTTTTCCACTAGTGCTAAGGACTAATACTGAGGCCTGGAGACCCTAGCCTAGTGATGGCGAACCTTTTAGAGACTGAGTGCCCCCAAACCGCCCCACCCCCCTGCCCCCACTCTGCCCCATCGCCACCGCCTCGACAGCCTGCCACAGGAGATTGCCCAGGCGGCCCTGCAGCGCCATGGCGGGCACGCCCTCCACCTGCACCCCGCTGCATCATCTGCGTGTGATGGGGCGCAAGGGTGGCATCTTGTCTCTGCTGCCTGGCTGCCATGTTCTTGGCTGCGCTGCTCCATGCGGGCTGCGCCCAGGGGTGACACTCCTCCGGAGGGGCTGCTGGTGAGAAGGGGGCCAAGGGGGGAGGTGGGGCTGGAGCAACAGCCCATGTGTCCACAGAGAGGGCTCTGAGTGCTGTCTCTGGCACGCGTGCCATAGGTTCACCACCACTGCCCTGGCCATTCAAGTGGTAACAGCATATTTTAGCCTATATCCCTTTCCATGAAGTCCAATTTTCAGAGTAGTTACAATAAAACGAGAAAGCAACTTCAACTTGGCATTTAATTTTGCCTGCCAGTAGCCATTTCCCAAACTTCAAAGTACAATCAGAGATTAACGAAAGAGGATTGAAATCTAGTTCCTTGATGTGTCAGTTGTCACCAGTAACCAAAAATGCCAGTTAGAAAGTCTTCAGTTGGTTTCACCCTTTGAGATGGATTTTGGCTTCATTGGGAGCCACCAGACCTAGCCACTAACCCCATGGAAATACTTTCAAGAAATGCCAGACTATTATAAACCAGGTTATGGCTCCTTTTCAGTCCCGGGGGTGTCATCTGACATCTGCCAGCCATGGCCTAAAACGCAAATGACTGAAAATGAGAGAATCACTGAACCATTTTGATTTCGTACTCGTGACTTCCCCACCTCACTGCCAAATTTTACTTTTGGAAAGACTTTGATTGTACTTGCATTAGTTGGCGGCTGCAACTCCAGGGCTGACAAAAGATAAGAAAGTGAAGAGGGTGGTGAATAGGATAAAGGGATCCAAGCCTCCCTCCATCCCAGCCTCAACAGGGGTGTCATAAATTTAAAAAGGTCTGAGCTTATCCCAGGTCTCCCTTACTTGGGAGACTCAGTACTCGGTACAAAGACCCTGGTCTTGGGTTTCTCCATTCAAAGGCAGACCCTGCAAAGGAATCTTGTCCATATTCCATTCAGAACGATTGCTTCAGGCCAACTTCACATTCTGCCAACAGATACATTTATACTACACTCCTTAATGTATTCAGCATTTAATTTTATTTATTTGATGTAATCATATCCAGAAACAACAGAGTATAGAGCTGTACGCTCACAATTCAATATGACAATAAAGCAAGAGAATGGAAAATAAATATTAGATAATCACAGCCACTGCAGGCTCTGCCTTGTACGACCAAGGCTAACACCTTAAGCCCCAACAGTGGAAAGTATAAAGAAAATTTTCCTTAACTTTGACAAGACAAACAAAATCCACAAATCCATACACCTCTACCTTCAAGATTCTGTAGAATCAGCTTTCCCATTACAAGTGAGATACCACATTTACCTTCCCAAATTTGGGGTGCTGAATATACAGGATCCCATCTTTCGTAGGGTGCTCCATAGGAGTAAGATCCAAGCTAGCAACCCAGTAAAATGTGCGACAGAGGCTGTCAAGATGATGAGCTCTTGTGGCTGCCCAAGAGATGAGTCAGTAAGTATGATAGTGCAGGCAACTTCCTCTGCCTGCTAACTTCCTCTTTGGGGCCTGCAGGCACCCAGAAAGTTATAACAGGCAAAAAGTCCCAAGAGAGACAGACTGTCCCAGGAGACATTTAACTCAACAGTTTGAGAAGGCAAGAATGACTCTTTTGCAGCTGCAGAAGCTGTCATCCAAAACAGAGCTGTTAGAGAAAACAACATGGCTGGAAATAGATGGGTGGAGTCAAGGCAAGGGGTAAATAAAATTATATAAACTGTTTTTATAGTGACCAGAAACTAGTAGTAAGACATGAACTACATACCAAGTCTCTGCCTCCTCATTATGGTCATCTGCTGAAGAGCTAGGCAATATTTGTCCAGCGCACGTGACAATGTCTGATGCAACAGATTATTGCAACAATAGCCTGCTACCCTCAAGAAAGAGTATACTGAACAGTTTAAAAACAAGCAGGTGTTAAAAAAGGACGGAGCATGCCTTTAAAGAATGTACAACCACAGATATCAAGGTGATGTGACTGCCCCAAATTAGCACAAAATGTTCACACAGAAGGCAACATAGGAGATAGAACAACCAAGCTCTTCACCTTGAAGTAGGAACAATATTTTCAACAGAAGCATTAAGATCCCCAAATGGAAAAAAAATCCTTATCAGCCTGTTTCCTACTTCTGTAGTGATAGTTGTTCCAGAAACTGCATTGGAATTATTTCAGAAAAGATGCCTTTCCAGACCCACCCCCCTCATTGATTTGCCTATGCCTAGACAAACGGCAGAATCAGTCTAGAAGTCCATGGAGCTGTGTGCCAGATAGTCCTTGCGTCCAATGTTGCTGACTTGCTTGGTCTGCATGGCTTCCAGTTTGGGGCAATCTGTGATACGGTGACCCAGCCCCCCGCAGAAAGCACAGCCTCTTTCTCCTGGAAGAGAAAATACTGCATCAGTTAAAGTTCAGATCACTGAAAGGTGATTACAACATGGGAGGAGTAGAAAGATTGTCTATGCAGCTCTCAGTCACAAGACAGGCCTATCTTTTAGCAGTAACGTGACTTTAAAAAAACCTCCCGCTCTTTGTGAAAAAATGCACCTGGCCGGCATCTAATTTGCGTAGCAGTTATTTCATTCCTTCCTTCACTAGGCCACAAAGCAGATAAATCCTTCCATTTCTTTGAATAGCAGATGACCCTAATTCCAATAAGCTTTCACCTAACACAGCCATGCTAAAGGTTGAACAGTAAAACTATTCTAGTCTGTCGGGCCTCTCCTCATCCTACTCTTTACGAACCAACTACTTACCTCCAATATCCAACATGGACTCATCTCCACAATGCAACACTTGAAGCACGGGAGGCACCTTCTGCTTGGCCTCCAGCAGCAGCGCCTTCAAATCCATGAGTACTGATTCATCTAGGGGTCAAGAGACAAGTCGTGTGGGCGAAGGCCAATGTCTCAAATGCATTTCAATTACAGTAAACAAGGGGCACGGCTTACACAAACAGCTATCTCTATAAGGTATCTCTTGTGATATCCCCAAGCCACCCACTGATCATCTCCTAGCTCCCTAGAACAGGGGTAGGCAACCTTGGCTCTTTTATGACTCGTGGACTTCAACTCCCAGAATTCCTGAGCCAGCTAAGCTGGCTCAGGAATTCTGGGAGTTGAAGTCCACGAGTCATAAAAGAGCCAAGGTTGCCTACCCCTGCCCTAGAATATTCTTTGTTGTTAATGATTCATTAGGAAGCATGACTGGATGAGCCCAGCTGACAAAAATATAATTAGCTGAAGTTCATTCATCCTTCACCGTCATCCTTCCTCTGGCTCTGTTCATCACAGACCAGCTTTTATAACCGTCTTTCTCAGTTCCTTACCACAGGCTTTGTTGATGAAAGTGGTGGCAATGCCAGTATTCCCTGAGCGGCCCGTACGCCCAATCCGATGAACTGGGGAGGGGAAAAAAATCAGACGCAAATATCATTTTTAGCCAAAAGAAATATGACTTGATTATGCTTCCTCAACAAAGCGAATTACAGTAGCCAGGGGAAATTAGTTTAAGAACAGACCGGAAACAGACCATTCAGCTTCCCCATCAGGCCGATTGAAGCCTGTCTAGTGAAAAAAAAAAAAAAATCCTGAAAAGCCCTTCCCACTCCTCATGAATAATGTTATGATGTGACACACTTTACATGTGGATACACAGTGTTACAATGTTTTCTTTTTATGACTCTGTAATCCAGTGGTTCTCAACCTGTGGGTCGGGACCCCATTTGGGGTCGAACGACCATTTCACTGGGGTCGCCAAACAACGCAGTCCGCCATTTTTTTCTCCTTTTTCTTAGCTGTGCTACTCCCTTTTATTTTATTGGCTTTTGAAAGCCAATAGAATAGACTCTCTTGAATAGAGTCTAATTCTATTGGCTTTCAAAAGCCAAGAGGAATTGTCCAGGCTGTCTCTGCCCTGCTGAGCCCGCCAAAAGTCCCAGTCTGCAAACGGTGCTGCACCAGTTGAGTAGTCCTCGACTTACGACTGGTTGAGTAGTCCTCGACTTACGACCGGTTGGGGGGGGGTCGCGGCATTAAAAAGGTTGAGAACCACTGCTGTAATCCCTTTTATAGGGGATTACATATGCATATATATGGTTCCATATACCCACCAAGAGCCACATTCCAAATAAAATCAGTTCAAAAGCTAGTTCAAAATGCAGTGGCATGAACAGTAATGGGCATGCCCATGTAATACCTCAGCTCTGTGAACAGTACTGCTCGCGGGTTTGCCTCTGGGAGCAATTTAAAATACTGGCTGTTATCAACAAAGCCCTACACGGCATAAGGCCCAGTTAATTGAAAAAAAAAAACCACCTGTGTCCCATAATATATGACCCACAGATTCAATGGGGGTGACATGCTCCAGGTTCCTTTAATTAAATCAAATACTCTATCAGAAGCCCCTTTGTTCAGTAGCCGCCCCTGCCCTCTGGAGCGAAGTTTCCCCTGAGATCCCAGTGGCCCCCAATCTGGTACTGTTCAGAAGAGCCGTGAAGACCTGACTCTTCACTCATGCTTTGGGCAAGGGACAGTTAGGGCCCTCACTTCATCGCACCTGCTGTCTTTGACCTTTATTTTTATGATTTAATGATCTGATTGTAATTTCTTTGTTTGACTGTCAAGCTGCCAGAGACATTGAGAGTCAGGCAGCATTCAAGTAATACATTATGATTGTTCCAACAACATAATCCATATTTGCAAAATGATGCAGATGATACCACTTGTCCCCTTAGCCTACGAGAAGCTCTGTTTGGTGCCACAAAAGGAATTCAAATTCCCAGACAGCAGGGAGGAGCCTCGTTTCTTCCTAATCTTTGGGCATCCTCAGCAGCTGATACCCGTTGCTATTTTGCATCTCCCAGCCATTCGTTTCTTGAACTCTTCCCAGTCATAAAGCTAAAAGATACAGTAATACATGATAAGAGGAAAAGCTAGCAGGTGTCTCATATCCTATTTTAGCTGAACCCATTTTAGAACTCAGCTACTGTCAATATAACTTCTGCAGCAGACCAGCAAGCCAAATTCTGCTGATCAAATTGTTTTTTTCACATTTTTTTTAAAATATTGTTTTTGTCACACTGGATAAATTCTGCATATGTTTAAGGATTCCAACAAATGAACCTGGTAATTACCCCCTCCCCCCCTCAGGAGTCTCTCTATTTCATACCATAATTTTCTATCTCTTCGGGCATGTCATAATTGATGACATGCTGGATGGCTGGGAAATCCAAGCCTTTGGAGGCAACATCTGTGGCAACAAGAACATCCTTTTTGCCATCCCGGAAAGCCTCAATAGCCTTTGTCCGTTCCTCTTGGTCTGCAAGATGAAGGGATACATTAAGAAGAGCAGAAGGATTTCACCTCATCCCTAATCCAGAAGCTTCCATTCACTGTGAGCATGATTCACACTCCTGGAACAAGAGGGCCTTTATCTTCATGGCCACTTTATGAAATCACAGCGTGAACTGCTTCATTGTCCAAAGCTGGTTTAATAATTTGTGTTGAGATGCATGTGATACCACAGACAATACTGAGAACTCCCTAAAAGATCTGATACAGCTGCTGGAGCTCCTGCTTGAATCTTCTTTTCTAGATCTTTTTCTAACCGTTACCATGCTTCATACCACATCACTGCAGTTCTGTGATATAAAAGAAGTCCTAACTTCTAATCAAGCTAGAACTCTGTGACTGACAGGAAGATATATTTTCAAAAAGTCTAATCTAACTATAGTTAAGTCAGAAAAACTATCATATATCGAGTTCCTGCACTTTCAGATTACTGCATTTTAGGTCTAGGACCAAAGGAGTACTTTTATTCAAAACCAAAAGGTTTCACAGACCTTTTCCACCATGTATGGCCACAGCCTCTACACCTTTGAGTAATAAATATTCATGAATTGCATCTACATCTGCTTTCTTCTCAGCAAAAATAAGAACCTGCCAAAGAAAGCAAAAGATAAGTGATGCTTGTACTCCAGTCCCTTACTCAAAGGGAGAACCTATTTCAAAAATAAGATAAAATACAATGACAGAACAGCCAAAAATCAGATTGTTTTCATGCAGTACTGCTTCCTTTTCTATGACAAGTGCAGAAAACTCAGATAAGAAGACTTTGGGAGTGATCAGATCAGATCAGGATAGGGTTGAACTTACAGGTGGTGGAGTCTTCTGTAGACATTCAAGTAGATATACCATTTTAGCTTCCTCCTTCACATATTCTACTTCCTAGATAGAACCAGAGAAACATAGTGAAAGATACTACCCAGAAGTCAGCACAGGATGGCTCATTAGGGCTCAATAGATTAGGACCTTGAAGTAGTGAGTATAGATATGAAAAACCAAGGTTGAGATTATGCATGAATAAAGATAATGTTGCTGAATAAGATGCTATAATAATTAAATAATGAACGAACAGAACATTTTAAGA